GAGCCCCTGATGGCCCCAGCTCCTGGAGAAATCAACTCACCCTGTGCATGCACTTGGGGTTCCCTCCACAACCTAGAAGAGAAGGCAGTTCCCTTAGTGGCCAGGAAGGGCCCATGCAGCACTCCTTCTTAGAGGGCAGTGTTGGGCAGGGGTGGGCTGGGGGCTGGGACACTGGACAAGAAACACCGGGCCTGGGGATCTACATGAGGCCTTGCTAACTTGGGAGCTCCTTCAGGAGGAGGAGTATAAGGGAAGTAGGCTAAAAACAAACACATGGAAAATTGCTGTTTTCTGCTTTGTGCTCTGCTCTGAACAAAGCTACATAAATCCCATGACCACTTCTCATCCCGACTCTTGTCACCCAGTTGAGGAGCTGACTGCCCCCTGCCTGGCTGGTCCTGAACAACGGAGGAACTGGCCCTGCCTTCCCAGACTTGGCTGGGAGATGAGGGGACGCCCAGCCTCGGGAGAGGGACGGATGAGACCAGGGTCCTAGGGGTGCAAGGATGCAAGGATGGAGAGTGATCACAAGGAGGAAAATAGAGCCAGGCCAGAGACACTAGGACTTGGGGCAGGCGTGGGCGTTTCTGTCTGTGGGAACAGGAGGAGGCAGGGCAGAGAGTGCCCAGCGCCCCTGCCCTCAGCCAGCACCTACCTGAGCCGATGCACCAACAGAACATCAGCACAGCCACCAACAGCAACAGGGCAACCAAAATCACAACTGTCACAATCAAAATCGTCCATACATTATGTCCATTGCCTGAGAAAAGACAGGGAAAGACAGGAGTCCCAGGGCTGCTGGTCACTGTCTTCTCCACAGCTGGGGCTTCCCCAGTGTGCTTTGTACCTGATTCGTTGTGGACACACTCGATGTCACTCCAGCGCGTACAATCCTTGACCTTGACCTTCCCTCTGGGACACCTGGATACACACAGGGAGGGAGAGGGGGGACTCTTGATGGAAAGTTGGCCAGGTGGGATGAAAGAGGAGCCACCCTCCCTTCCCCAGTGTCCCTGAGAAGGCGTCAGGGGAAGGACAGTCTCATCGTGTCTGCAGGGGGTCCCACTCTGCTCCTTTGTTGAGGCTGGGGAAAGGTCTGAGCATGTGCACTTTAGCCCCTCGGCCTCCCTGCCCTATGGTCAGAGCTGCAGCTCCAGGAGCCTTCTGTGCCGGGCAAACATTAATCTTCCCTGGGCTGCAGGGGAGGCTGCGTTAGGAGGAATCACACTCCAGGGGAAGGCCACACACCCGTGTGGCCACAAGCTGAGCCCCATCCTCCAGTTAACCCACAGTACAAGTGAGCCCTCGCCCCACCTGTCTGCTGGTTCCTCTCAGTCACAGCAAACACTGGAAGACCAGAGAAGAGCAAGTTACTCTTTGCTTCCAAAACCAAAATAGGAAAAAGACAGGACTTATTGGGAAATCGGGGCCAGGGATGAGGCCGGCTGAGTGGGCTCAGGTCCTCATGGGAACTTGAAGGAGCTTCACCCATGGCCTTATTATGATTTTTGCGGGCTGTGGGCATTTCTGTCTTCTTGAATTAAAAGCAAATATTAAAAATTACATTTTATAACTCAATTTGTTTAAATATAAATATAACCCCGGCTGGATTCTATACCATTATTTTCTTATTATTTCAAGATAAAATATTTCATGTACTTCTATTGTTGGCCCTAAGTCATGGCCTCCTGAGCCAAGTGAACAAGTCAGCCTGGCCAAGGGGACTAGTGATGGGGAGGGGTGAGAAGGGGCCACTGCAGGGGACAGGGGTGGGGACAGGCAGATGAACCAGGAGGGGCAGGTTGCAGGCTCAGGAGATGCCACAGGCTCAGGGACACCCATGGGGGTGGAGGCGCCATGGGGTCAGGGCTGAAAGATAGGGGTACAAGGAGACTCAGGTTTTTTAGGGTTCCTTGCTTCTGGGGGTTCTTTGAGGCTGTTGGGAGCCCCTTGGCTGCTGTCTCACTCTGTGCTGCACTTCCGGCACATCTCAGCGGAATCGTCATTCCGGAAAGTTCCTGGTTTGCACTGACACGCTGTGTTCCTGGTCCTGGTGCAGGCACTTCTCTCTTCTTCATCTGATGACAGAATACAAGGTTTTGGGAATGTGTTTCCCTGACGTGTCCCTTGATCTTTCCTCACCACCCCAACCCCCTTCCCCTCAGCTCAGCTCAACTCAGTTTGCCAAGGAGATCTGAGGGCCAGATTCTGCACCAGCACACTTGGGCTCATACAGGACACCCACCCTTCAGCTCTCACCAACACTTGGAGTCATACAAAAGGACCATGATTCGTTATTACATCAGATTAGGGAAAAAGCACCATTTAGATTGCATGGTCAGTAGCAAAGGAGGCACAGGTATCATTTGAGAGCGTCTGCAAGAAGAGGAACCCTTGGATGACTTCCCAGAAACCCAGCGTGCTGGGGAGGAGGGAGGTACCTGAGAAATTGAAGGCTAAGTGAGGCCGAGAACCTGCCAGGAGCACAGAGCCCAGGGGGAGTGTGACCCCAGAGCAGACCCGTACCGCCACTGAAACTCAGCCCTGTCCACTCGGCCAGGCCTTCTCTGTGCTGTAATGATGCCCCTATCCTCTTGGAGCTGATAGTTTGCACTACCAGGTGGCATGCATTATAAAAATGATTTCTTTCTGTTTCATTTTATGGACCTAAGACAGAACCATGGAACAGGGTATGATGAAGAC